GGGATTCAAACAATAATTTTGATAAAGGAAGGTCAAATTAAACTTTCTTTTCAATTTTTTTTAACACTAAAAATTGAAAATTTTTTTATATAGGAGCAGGGCCCTTTTGGGCCATATGTGTGTCGGTCCCTGAATGTGTTATTGTAATGTTCACTTGAAAGATTGGCAACTAACCCCGAACACAAACACAAAGCTTTAGCTACCTCTCATTCAATCACTACTTACAAACAAAGCAATAATGACCTCTACTATGTCTTGACACTTGGTTGGAGGGCCATTAGCTCATCCAACACAGCCTTAGCTTCATGTTATTGGTCCACCGAATTTTCTACATTTTGTTCCTGTCCACAAACGTGGAACTATATCACACAATGATCTCACCCCTCACATTTTTCCTTTAGATGAGGTGTGATTTCCAAAATTTAGTTTTTTTTATTGAAAATTATCTTCGAAAATAAAATTCTAAGAAAATATTGTGAGAAGGTTGAAAAATTATCGTGTTTAAATAAATGTTATTATTAGCTGCTATTTTGAAAGTATTCTGTAAAAATAGTTATTTGATTGGTTATTAAATTTAAAATGATAAAAATAAGTAAAAGTAAATTTATATTACATGTATAACTTGCTAATTTGTAAAAAAAAGTATTGGATATAATAAGTGTAAAATATTATCATTAATTATCCCATTTTATTATTTATTATCATTTAAACTAGTCAAAATGCTAAAAATCTAACGATATATAAATGTGGAAATAGGAGGAATAATGAGATTTTCGATGGCGCCCTTGATGAAATTTGAGTGTCCTAAAATAACCTTAGTTATAGCTAATTAAAAAAATTACATTTTATTAGTTGATTTGATATATTTATAAAAATTATTTTTTAAGACAACAATATGTGGTCTGATTGTCTTTTCACTTATGTGAACTAGTCAAAATGCCTCTTAAAAAGTCTAACGATTAGTATAAAAATGTGGAAAATAGGAGGAAGTAAATTGGAGATTGTTCGCGATGCCGGTTCCTTGATGAAATTTGAGTGCTCCTAAAATAAAGCCTTAGTTTATAGCTAATTCAAAAAAAATACATTTACTTAGTTGATTTGAAGCGTTGACTAATTTTTATAAAACATTTAGTTTTTTAAGAGACAAACATTATAGGTAGGGTTCTAGATTTGGTCTTTCACATTTATCACGTGAAGCTAAGAAGTAGAGGTCGTCAAAATTCGAGTCACTCTCGACCGCACAGCTGTGTTCACCTGATGTTGGGTTAATGTAGGAAAATGATTATGTCTTCTTTGTCAGGCGTAACCCACAGGTTACTTTCTCGCATCAAAGCACTGGCATTCTAATGAATCGCAAATATAAAAAGAATGGTCTACTAAATATATAAACATTTCAAAATTTTAAATTTTATTTTTTATAAAATTAGTTTTTAATAAATATATATAATGATAATTAGACCATTTTAGAAATTTTTTTAATATTCTTTATTTATTAAAATTTAATTTCATTTTGATTAAATTTGAAAAGAATATGCTTTATTTATGGATAGATAAATAGAAGAAGAAGAAGAAATAATATATTCCGTTCTTTATGATTAATATTCTGCTTTTTTTATGTTTTTATGTTTTGACTTGGATATTATTTTAACATAAATTTTCAAATTAAATATGATATAATAGACTTTAGTTTAAGTAAGAAAGAATGGAAAAAAAGAAGAGAAAGAAGATATGTATATTATTTTTATTAAAATTTTTTTTATATTGTAAGATTTGATCGCTATATTTTTTAAAAAGTAAATTTTTAAATAGTAATTCACTATAATTTTAAATCTGAATTATGAGCATCGCGATTTGAAAATTTTAATAACTTTAAATTACCATTGAAAAAGTAGTCAACGTTGTTAGTATGTAAGGTATAAAGGCAAGTGTAATACAAATAACAACCTTGTATTTATTTCAGTCATAAATAAATTTATAAGTTTTTCAATTAGTATATATTAGATAAAAAATACAATATATACTTAAACATAGAAGAAAAAAAGTATATTATTTTTATTAAAATTTTTTTTTATATATTTGTAAGATTTGATCGGATATATTTTTTAAAAAGTAAATTTTTAAATATAATTCATATAATTAAATCTGATATGACAGACGATTGAAAATTTTAATTTAAATACATAAAAAGTAGCACCGTAAGTAGTTGATATGGCAAAGTGTAATACAAATTAACAACTTGTATTTATTTCAGTCTAAATAAAATTTATATTTTAATATTATATAGATAAAAAAATAAATATATAATTAATATAATCAACGTGTAACCCATATCATAAAAAAATAGTAGTTACTCTAAAAGTTGTAGAACTTGTTTTATAATAATTAGGCTTATTACTTTGTAAAGAAAGAATAGATATGAGATCCAAAAATTATCCATTAATTAATTGAAAACACTAAAAATGAGATGAAATAATGTTTTACCAAACACTCCATTAATCTCTAAATATAATTATCTTACTAAATCTTATAATTAATAAGTATAATATTTTGACCGGTTAAAATATTTAAAATTAAAATGGTTGCAAACTGTAGTAAATCCTCTTAATAATAAAAAAGAAAAATAGCTGGGCCCCATACGAGGCACAATGCTGACGGCTGACCATTGAGAAATGTAGTAAATTGAGGGTGCAACTTCTAGAAGCATGAAGTCTGGAATCATGACGATTCATGCACGCAAAGGCAAAGCTGACAATTTTTTATTCTTAAAATTAATTATTTCAGAGCAAAATTAATGGTGGGCCTCCATCCCACCAACAAATTTTCATACGGACTAACAAATGCTAGTAATAATTTACTAATTTCTTAATAAATTCCATGTAATAAATTACAAAGTATTAGATATTATTTATTTACATATTAAGATTGTGTTCGACAATAACTTTTAAGTAGTCAAAATGCTAAATATTATTTTTTATAGTTTTCTGTAAGATAGTATTTTAACGTGACTTTTAGAGATTAACGTAGCTTATTATAAAAAGTTAATCCATATAAGATTAGCTTTTAGCATTTTATACAAAACTATTCAAACAACTAGGAGTAAAATGCTACTAAAACAGCTAACAACAATCAAAATGATTAATGTTGTCAAACATGTACTAATAGCAGAAGTAGAAATTGAATTTGAGACCCTTAATCATAAGCTATTAGGTCTAAGTTAACCATTTTAACTGCTTATATAACAATTAATATTTTATTTTTTCAAAGTTATAATAAAACGTTCCTATGTGCTTTTGTTTGATTTTAATTAATAAAAGTAACAAATTTCATAAACTCTAGATTTTATTTGGAAAGGAAAGAAAATAAAATATTGGAGGAAGAAAATAATGGAATTATTTGCACATAAAAAAATGTAATTTTCTCAATTTACTTGTGTTTTTTTTCTCATATTTGGAGAGATTTTAATTTTGCAAGCTAGAAGGAAATATAGTATATATTTTTCTTCCTCAATATTTTTCTCTCCCTTTTTAAATAAAAGAAAATTTTTTTCTTAAATATTTTTTGACATTTTTTTTCTTTCAAAAAAAAAAATCGTCTTTTCAAATAAAGGATTAAAGATTAAATACTTAATGGTAACTTTTTTTTAACGAAAGAATTATTAGTTCCCAAAAAAAATAAAAGGGTGATGTTTGACATTCAACAAAAGAATCCATACCAAAATATTTAAGGGAGAATTACTATTTAGTTATTTCATTATGATCAAATACACTATTCAGTTCATACTTTTTTTAAAATATACGATTACGTCCCAAAGTTTTAATCCTATCATACATTTCAATTGTTCCGTCCATTTTTAGTGTATTTAGTCGTGAGTCAAAGTAAAAAAAAAAGTCAAATACATGAGAAAACATTTAAATGTCAAAACTAACGCTATACACACAAGTAAAAATGACCTACCAATTTCAAACAACTTAACTTTCCTATTCATTACCAGTGATATTGATGATTCTAATGTAGACAACAATAAATCTAAGCAAAATCCGAATTGCTAACTATCAAACACCTACATTACCATTATAGTTGGATAAATGAGGGTTGTCTTTTAATTTAATGGTAAGACTATAATCCTTCTGCATTTGAATTTCCTACTAAATCGTCTGATTATAATATATTTATACTTGGTGGCTGAACAACATTCATTTTGCTATATCCATTAACAAATTTGATGTATTTAGAATCTCTTCCTTGTCAATAAATGTTTGACTTGATTCAATATGGTTAATGCTGAAAGACAATATGCCTTTTATTTTAAAGCGATTGATATCTGAATTTAACCTAGCTTGGTTGCTTGGCCATCGTGCACTAGCAGTAGTGTCTGGTACATCACTAGCTTATATTGAAGTTGGTATTAAATAAGATAAAATAAACTTAAAAGTTTAGGGTTGCGAAGGGATATTTAAATGATAGAGCAGCGACGCCGTAACCAGCAACTGTTGTTTCAAGAACATGATACTACATACTCAATCATATATGAATGGTTTTACGTGGCTTCTAAATCTTAGATGCTCATTTCTCACTCTTATTGTAAATTTTCGGTAAGTCAAATGCCTTTCAATGGAGGAAAATCCAATAATATTGCCCTGGGAAGGTCGATGTTTGAGATTTTTTGATGGAGGAAAAACTTTTTGCTAATGGTTTTTTAGTAGGGTATTTTTGTCTTTTATTACCATTTAACGACTAAACACAAAAAATGGACGGAAGGACTGAAGTGTCCAATGAAATTAAAATTTAGGGACTAATCATGTATTTTAAAAAAAGCAAGGACTGATTAGTGTGTTTGACCATATTAAACGGACTAAATAGTAATTCTCCCAATATTAATATATAAATAAAATACTAATAATAAATAAATAAATTATTATAAACGTAAACTAGCGTTAGAAAGGGACCTAACCCCCAACAGAAAACTACCTACCACCGTTTCCCTCGTCTTTACTTTCTCTCTGTACTTTAATGTCTTTAAAAATTTCAAAATAAATAATAAATAACAATAAAACATTCACCCACCAAACCAAAAAAAAAAAAAAAAGGCCGCTTAGTTTGCACCTCCTTCACGTTGTCTAAACCTTCTCTTCTTCCTCTTTCTTTCAATCTAACCCCAGATATCTACATTGTCGTCGAACCATTCTTAAAAGTCCTGCAAGTCAAGGGTTTCTTTCTATTATCAGAAACCCTAGATTTTCTCATCTACCTTCCCTTCAATTCAGGTCCGCACGCTTCTCTTTCCTTTGACTTTTCTTTTTTGTCCTTTCAACTCTATGCATTTTCTCTGTTTGGTTCCCGAGAAACGGGAGAAAGATAAAATAAATAAGGAGAAAGGAAAGTTTAAAAAATTTCAATTTTTTGTTAGGTATTAGTTGAATTTGAATTCTCTGATTTATTGATTGGTTGATTATGGCTTCAAAGGAATTAAAGAGAAGTGAATGTTAATTTTTTTGTTTTGTTTTTTTTTTTTTTTTTTTTGATTATTGGCAGATAAATAGTGTCAGTATATGTGGTTGTTTTTGTATTGAAATTATGCATTTTGGTTATGGGCTAAAGTTTGCGGTTTGCTTTGGGAGTTGAATTTTGGATTTTGATTAATTTTTGTTCTCTAATTTGGAGTTTTTTTTTTTTTTTTTTTTTTTTTTTTTTTTGGATTTATTGGCAGATAAATAGTGTCAGTATATGTGGTTTGTTTGTTTGAATTTGCATTGAGTTATGTGCTAAAGTTTTGGTTTGCTGAGTGCAATTTTGGATTTGATTAATTTTTGTTCTCTAATTGGAGTTCAAGTACATCAAATTTTTGCAAGCAGGTGACGGAAGCTGCTTAAGTTTCTCCTTATTACTTATACTAGATATATATATATATTTTTTCTCTTTTTTGCCAAGTTGCTTGCATGGCTTTTCCGAAATTTACCCCCTTTGTTCTTGGGGTTCATTGTTTGCAACAGTTATGAATTATTGTCGTTTAAGCATGCTTAGTTGCTGCAAATGTAGGAAAAAAGAAGAGGGGTTTTGGAAATATTGACAATGAATAATGCAATCATTAACAATGGTAAATGTGAGAATTTGGTGAAAACTACTCACACTTGCATTCTTGATAGTTTCAAAATGTATTACTACCTCCTTTCCTTTAATTTTGAAACTTTTTGTTGTTTTTCCTACTCAGATGACATTTTTAGAAAATCAAGGTAGTAGTAATAACAACTTTAAGCTTGTCTAGATATCTCCATCAAACTTTGTCTCTCTTAATTACCAACGATTAATTGAAGGGTAACTTAGTCAATCGACCTTATTTTTTCTACAATTGAGGTGATTAAATCATTTTTTTCTTAATTCTTAGTGAAAGTCAAAAAATTCCAAATTTAACAGAATGAAGGTAGTATACTCTATTGAGTTCATGTTTATGTTTTTGGTTCTTAAGCAATGGAATTTGTTTAATTTTTGAATATTGTAAAAAGCATTATGCTTTACACTTCTTCAATTTCATTTTCCATTTATAGACAAACTATCGTTTTGAAAATTTTGGATTTGCACGCGTCGTAGGTTTTGTGTTGGATAAATCTGCTTTGCGTTATATCTGGTCAAAGTCTCTTATAATTTGTCCTATTCTCTTTCTGACATTGCAAATCTTTCAGAATTTGTTAATTATCGTTTCAGACTTTTTTTCTTCTACTGCAAAGTCAAGTGAAATTTCTGTTATTGACTGAAGCTACAAATAAAAGATTTCGATAAGCATGTCTAACAAGCATTACATTGTTTTGTTCCTTGTTCCCAGTTCCAATTTCTGAACCTACAGCAATGTCAAGTGTGGAAGAGCCACTTGGTCTTGACAAGTTGCCTAGCATGAGTACCATTGACAGGATCCAAAGATTCTCATCAGGTGCTTGCCGGCCTAGTGCAGATGATGTGGGAATGGGAAATTTCTGGATTGAGGGAAGGAGTTGCAGCTCATCCAACAGTTGCGAGTAAGTGGGCATCAATAAGAAGATGTAGAGACTAAAGATTAATGGACTGGCACTGCCATCATAGCCTTCATGAACTATAGTCATTGCTATTATAATTGTTGCTGAACCATTAGAGCCCACCACCCAAATGGACATAAAGAATATGTACTTTTTTTCCTTTCTTTTTTTTACTTTTTTTATTTTTTTCAAATAGCAAAATCAAACACCGTAATATTTACCAAACATTTATGCAAAAGCTGAAAATGTTAAATTAGTGTTAAAAAACATATCGCATTGTATCTGAGTTTTTCTGCTCCATTATTTTAGGGTCATTGTTGTTCCTCAACATCATATAACCTGTACATAAGTATAGCTATTAGATATTTGCGCTATCAAATCATTAGTGTCATCTTGAGTACCATACTTAAGCCTCCATTCATATGCAGGGATAATTATGAGGAGTATACTAGAGAGACTTTTCCTTGGAAGAGACATACAAGGGATCTGTGCCAAGGTGACTCCTTTAATCGAAGGACCATGAGCTTAGGCAGGAATCATGTAGCGCGTGGAACAGGTCAGGATTCACGGTGCTTGCCAAATCGTCAATATAACTCCAAGTCCAAGTCCAATGACAAAGACATGCGGAATTTAACAAATAAGGTGATTCAATAACTGATGTAGAGTTTAATTTTTTTTTTTTTTTTTGAGATCATAGATCATATTGATAATTTTCTATCATTCAACAAATGAAATTCTCTAGTCCTGCATGATTGCAGTTGTCCTCTGTTTCATCATTTAAGCTGTAGTTCAAATACTTTATTTTACCACTTGTTCAACTTAACTTATTTGAATTGTGAACTTCTATCTGCAATTTGGACAAAGCAGTTTTTGAAAGGAATACCAAATTTTGTGAAGATAGTCGAAGTTGGTCCAAGAGATGGACTACAGAATGAGAAAAATATTGTACCTACAGATGTAAAAATTGAATTGATTCACAGACTGGTCTCTTCTGGGTTGCCAGTTGTTGAAGCTACAAGTTTTGTATCACCTAAATGGGTTCCTCAGGTAATTTATTTTAATTGTATATGTCCTCATTTTCGCATGAAATTATCTTCTTGTTTATCTTACTCTACTAATGCTTTATAAATCTGATATTTTTGGGAATAATTTAAGACAACTCAATTTTAGTCCTCAAATCAGATTTGTACGTATGCACATGGTTTTATTTATCAATACACAATTTACACCGAGTAATCAGCTTCTTTTTAAATTCAATATTTTCTTGCAAGGAGATGAAAATGTGTCTTTGGTCGCTTCTTTCGTACCAGGCTATGATAGTTCTTGGTTATCTGAGTTTATTTAGTTATTTTCACAAACTTGTACGTTGTCTTTTGTTATTTTTATCATTACTCATCATTGAACACAAACCAAGAAAATTGTAATCGAAAATTTGCACCTTTAAGATTGTACTAAAAATTACCTGACTCAAGATTATGGGAAATTACCTTTCTTAATCTTTGACTCAGCTCTAGGCGCATCATTCCATTCTTTCCAGACACCAGTTACGAATCTGCTACTCTTATTTTTTTCAACATCCGTTCACAAACAAGCAAGCCAGCCAGTCTTCTTTGTGGTTGGAGTTGCTCATTCACAATCTTTTTCTCTTTGTTTCATCTGTGAGTATTACTACAGAGAGTAGCAGAGTGCTAAGTGCAAATGACAGCATTTAGTATAACTTGTGATCTGCATAATGTCTGAGAGCATGAAAGATAATGACATTAATGCTTAACAAATGCTCATGTATGTAAGAAATTGATAGTTTTATATTTTTATTCCCATGTTCTTCCCGTGTCAAATGAGCTTCTCTTAAAATTCTTCTTTTTATGGTTCTCTGTTTAGTCATATATTTTGGAGATTAGTCGTGGCCTCTCTATACCCTATTCCTTTTGTATGCTTTCTGTGGCCTCTTGGTTTTCTTCATTTCCAGTTCTTATAGTCTATTTATGAATGGTAACACTTTTGACGAAACTAACTATTGTGCTTACCACCGTGTGTTATCCTGCTTGAGTTATATTTGCTAGTTATCTATGTTTTTCTTCAGTGAAAGTTCTGGTGTTTCTGTTTGGGGCACATTAAGCTGAACTAGTGTTATGACTTAGGACTTTGTAAAATGCGTTTCTGAAAATAAAGAAGTGGAACTGATTATCCCTTCAGTCAAGAAAATCTATTGAGCTCAGATGGAATTTTGCTTTGGTTGAACTAAAGCTACTACTCTCTTTGTGTCTTTGCATCTCTATCTCTCTCTCTCTCTCTCGCTTGCTCTCTCTATACTTTAAATAACTTTTTTGCTGATTTAGATATACTACAAAGAGGAATAAAAGTATTGGTATTAATTTGATTCTCTGAAAAGATTTTATATGTGCATTAGAAAGTTAGAATTGCTTCTTGTCTGGATTCTCGTGTAGGATTTTAGCATATGACATAATTACTAATTCTAGTAATTTATTTTCAACCTGATATTTAACATGTTGGTTTTAGGTCTCAATTCTTATTTTCAGATTTTCAATTAATGTTGGTGTTGGATCTTCAAATGTGAAGCACTCAGATATTGCTAGCATATGATAAAACTTGAGTTCAATTCTATCTTACGTAATTTTCTCTTATGTGTAACAATAATATGTAGTATTGACAGGAAAAAAGATATGATTCTGCATTTTCTTAGTTTTCTGATATCCATTTTATTTTTATTAATAAAGAGCTTTTACATGATTGGTGTTGGCACCTATATCTGATTGGTGAAGCTCAAGCAATAGTTTTACCCAAGCCTATCTTGGGGAGAGGAACCTATTAACAAAAAATTTACTAGATTTAATAAATTAATTTTGTGCTTCTTTATTTTGTAGGATGATTTTATATATTCTGTTTCTGCACACAAGAATGTAACTTTGTAGGAACATCCGGTTTTTGATTAATAGATATTATTTCGGTTTTCAGAATCTAGAGTTCCATATTAGCTGATACCAGAGCTGACTCTTATCACATGCCCATCTCACCATTGTTTGTAGATATCATCATTAGGTCAATGACAGTACCAACCAAAATACCTATCACTACTACCAAAACTGCTGTTAAAACTGAATCATAGGTCTTCCAGTACAACAAAAATGGGTAAAAAAGGAAGAGCAAAACCTCGACGCACAGGCAGGATGTCTACTGTCAAGGGTAAAAGATCTTAAGCCAATGAAAAGAGAGTTCTATGTCTCAAGAGTTAGAATTATTCCTTGATTCCAAAAATTCCAAATCAAACATGATAGAGCCAAGCCACATGCTTCAATTTTTGTGTCCCTTGAATGTTCCTATCCAACTAATACGCTCTTTTTCATAAACCAGTTCTTGGATGGCCTCTCTCTTGAGACATGCACATTTTCTTTTCTTTTTCCCCTGTCTACCTTTTATGTTCTGGTGATGCTTGTGGAGAATCTTCCATGGAGTTCCTTGTGGATGCGTAATATCCTTTTCTGATAGGAAATGATAGACCAGAGGTGGAATTATTGAGGGAAAATCAGAACAAAGACTTAAAAGGAGAGAGTGAAGGGGGTGAGAGAAAGAATATTAGGCTTGAGGGTGAGAGTATTTATTTGTCAAATTTTGAAACTCTATAATGGCGATTACCTAAATTTTAGATGGTTTGGACTATATGCTCATAAATAGAATGAACAATTTTTTTTTTTAATATGTAATTGCTGATTGAAGCACAAAAGCCATCTACTTCTCTCTCTCTCTCTCTCTCTCTCTCTCTATGATGTTACTTCTTGTTTATTATTTTCAAATTGGATATTAGTGAATTCTTTTCCATTGTAAGATCATTCAGGATTAATTGACTTGGACCTTTATGAACTTGTTTTCATCATAAATTGTATATAAATAGATGACTTTTCTTTTTTCATTTTGTTTTTGACCTTCCCACCCCCTTTTTGACTTTGTTTTTGGTGACCTTAAACAGTTAGCAGATGCAAGGGATGTGATGGAAGCAGTTCAAAATTTGGAGGGCTCTAGATTGCCTGTTCTGACACCTAATCTAAAAGTTAGTATTCCTGGTGCATATGCAAAGCTATCTAACAATGTATAGTGGTCTAATAGGAATATTTTATGTCTGCTAAATTGTTTGCTAGGGCTTTGAAGCAGCTGTTGCAGCTGGTGCTAAGGAAGTAGCCATTTTTGCATCAGCTTCTGAGTCATTTTCAAAGTCAAACATCAATTGTAGCATTGAAGAGAGTCTTGCTCGTTATCGTGCTGTCACTAATGCTGCTAAAGAGCGTGGAATTCCTGTTCGTGGGTATGTCTTCTTTTCCCTCTTGCCACGGTTCTCTCTCTTTCTTCCGCCTCTCTATCTTGAAATTTTTTGGGAGATCATATCTTTTTGCTTCATCTTCATTAACCAGATGTTGATGAAATCCTTCTGATTGACAAACATTAGAAAATATGGCCAATTATTAAGTTTTTATCCATCAGTTGTTATGGTATCAAGTTTGTCAGAGAAAATGAATGTCATAACAATTTGTGATAGTATTCTATTACATATTTTTCACAGCAGGATTTGTTTGTGAATTATCTGCTGCCAGATTCATCTCAGCCAATTTTTTACAAGGAGCGCCTTACATGCCAAGCGTGTTTCTAAGAGCTTGTATGGAATTATGGGGAATTCGTTTTCAAATCTGTGCTGAACATGATTTTAATCTCAAAACTTCACTTGGAATTTAATTTATTTATCTTTTAATTGGTTATTCTTAAAGCCTAATTCTAATACAGTTGATAGCATTTGCAAAGGGATACCTAAAAAGAATACATAAATTTTTTATATTTTTCTACAATGACTGAATATTTAAAATGAATTCTTTCTTAAAATGGAAGATATCAAACCTTCAAATTGTTTACAGAAAGCTTTTTATGAAATGCAGTTAAATAAAATGAAATCCATTTCAGTTACTTGCATTGCATAAATATTAATATATGTTTTAGTAGCTTAAAAATTGATCTTCTCATCAAAGTTTAAAGTTGTCAAGTTTGTTTAGACTTGTAAAATTGTCACACGGATTTCTGCAACAAATTGCTTTCGTGTAATTTGGTATGGTTGCTAGACTAGTTGAACCATAGTAAACCAAATTGTAATTATGCTCATTAAAGGCTGGATCCTTCATTTTATGGCACACTTGCTTCAGTTGCTGTATGTGTGGACTTGTTTTTTGATGCTTTTGTTGAAAACAAATACCTTTTGAATCTGCTTTTAATTGATTTTTTGAATACTTTGATAGGTATGTATCATGCGTTGTTGGATGTCCTGTGGAAGGAGCAATTTCTCTCTCAAAAGTGGCATATGTGGCAAAAGAACTTTATGACATGGGTTGCTTTGAAATTTCTCTTGGTGATACAATTGGTGTTGGTACACCTGGTAATAATTTAAACTGAATTTTGTTTGAACTTACAATCTCACACATACTCATGTATAAGTTCTCAGTTATATTGTTAATACTTCCATTATTTGTCTGTAAATTCTCTGTATGTTCTTGCTGTTTCAGCTCTTTCATCTTAATCATAAGTAATTTTTTCCCTGGAACTCTCACAATGAAATATATGTTTTGCATTTTATGGCATTACTCTATTTAACAATTCAAGTTCTTCTGCAAGAATTTAGCAATTTCGTGGTTTTTTCAATTTTATTTTCAACTTCTCGTGTATTGCAAACATTTATTTACTTTTCTTTTACTTTTCCATCTGGGCATCTTTTGTAGTACTTTTCCTTTTTTTTTTTTTTTCAATATTTTGTGGTACATTTAACTTTGGCTATTATCTGCAAGTAATTAGAAATTAAATACATGTTTACTGAGAGCTTATGATGGAGTGAACAATTGCCTTTCTTCAAAACTAGAACAATTTGAATTACCATGTTGAGGAACTTATAATTCTTTTTAGTACTTTTCAAATATTACTTCCTGCTAGTTCTTAGATCAATTTTGGTCTTGTAATTACCATTTCATTTACCTTAATACTTTTTGTTTGATCAGGGACTGTCGTTCCAATGCTCGAAGCTGTAATGGCTGTTGTTCCTGCTGAGAAGCTTGCTGTTCATTTCCATGATACTTATGGACAATCTCTTCCAAATATTTTAATCTCTCTCCAGGTATTGATTGGATATTGACTATGTAGGCTGGTTAAGAACTGCATGACATTTACTCAGCTTTTCTCCGGAACTGTATCTAATAGCAACACCTATCTTCTGCAATATGTGTGCTTAGAGTTTAAACAAGCTGAGATGAGCTTGAACCTGCCAGGCTTGAAGCTCGGTATGATAGAATTTAGCTCGGCTCGAAACTCGACGAGCCTGAAAATTTCAGGCTTGAGTTCAATTTGAAAAAATTTAGGCTTGAGCTCAGCTCAAGACTTGAGTAAGTCTAATGTAAATGTTTTATATATGTATATATAAAAGTTCGATAAGGCTTGGCGAGCTTTCAAGCTACACATCATTAAGCTCGAGCTCGAGCTCGATTCAGGCTGAATTTTTTTGAACTTTTTTTGAGCTGAGCTCGAACAGCTCGTGAGCCGACTAGGCTCATTTACACCCCTATGTGTGCTTACTTTGCTCTGGCTTATGTTTTTTTATTTTTATGCAATGGTAGATAGTTCCATATGACTGAAATTTTTAAAAGGTTTAGGAGGAACGTGGAGGGTGTAAACTCCTTACATCTTGTAATATGAGGCTAATACTCCACTATTGGGCTGGTAGTCTAATGTAATGGCACCCATTAGTGATTAAATGCCGAGTTCCCAGAATGGAGTAAATCGTAGCTGAAGATCTCATATTTCCTATACTAATTGTTTTTAATTATTCTCTATATGGAGTAAATCGTAGCGAAAGATCTCATATTTCCTATACTAATTGTTTTTAATTGTTCTCTATTGGCTGATCCAAATCAATCTCAAGAAACTATATTTTATGTTTTAACAGATGGGTATTAGCACAGTGGACTCATCTGTTGCTGGTTTAGGTGGGTGCCCATATGCTAAGGGTGCATCAGGCAATGTAGCCACTGAAGATGTAGTCTACATGCTTAATGGGCTTGGTGTGAAGACTAATGTGGATCTACCAAAACTCCTCTCTGCTGGGGATTTCATAAGCAAGTACTTGGGCCGCCAGTCTGGATCAAAGACCGCTGTTGCTTTGAGCCGGGTTACGGCTGATGCCTCAAAGATATGAGAGAGTTTGCTGGTAGATATATCTATATCAAAATACCCTTATGAACAAGGAAACAGTGGATTGGTTCCTACAATCCATTCTCCTAACAAGTATGATATATATATATGTACGCACACGAATGTAGGTAGGAATAAGAAAATGCAGAGCATGTATCCTGTAATTATGATTTCGGTGACAAACTAGTCATTGTACTAGAATGTGTGCTTTTTGAAGCAGAAGCAGCATACTGTGCTGAATAAAAAGAAAAGAAAAGAAAAAGAAAAAGAAACAGAAGTTTCTACTTTCTCTTAATTTTTGCATAGCAAAGGTAGAAGGGTTTCGGCTACCTTGAACAAATGGAGAACCTGATAAACTTGGGTACTGAAATTAAATTTTTGTTCATTTAGAAGCATTAAGCTCCATATTAAGAATTAGGAGGTGGATGAACCATAATATTTTGACAGTCGATCCATCCCCTATTCTCCACCAAACTTGAATCAAACTTCTCCACATGTAGCTGCCCTCCTTTTTACTTTAGCTTCAATAAAAGATGACTTAGGATAGTTCTTAGCTTGAAGCATCCTGGCATACCTCAACCCTCCTTCAAACTTATAAAAGCTCGTTTTACCCCAAGAGATCCAATGAATTTTTCTTTTATCAGAATTTTGTCCCCACCAAAATATTGCCATAAGAGCCCCAATTTTTTTTGCAGACATCTACTGGAGGAAAAAAAAAAAAAAAAAAAAACATCCATAATTAAGAATTAGGCAGGTGATGAACCATAATATTTTGGCAGTCGACCATCCCTATTCTCCACCAAACTTGAAATCAAACTATCTCCACACTGTAGCCTGCCTCCTTTTTACTTTTAGCTTCAATAAAAAAAAGTGATGACTGTAGAGATAGTTCTTAGCTTGACACGCATCCTGGCATACTCAAACCCCCTTCAAACTTATAAAAGCTCGTTTTACCCCAGAGATCCAATGATTTTTCTTTTATCAGATTTTTTGGTCCCCACCAAAATTATTGGCCATAAGGCCCCAATTTCTTTTTGCAGAATGTCTATGCGAGGAAAAAACAAAAAAAAAAAGATAAGACAGTGTGTAATTCAGGATAGCCAAAAAAAAAAAAAAAAAAAAAGATAAGACAGTGTGTAATTCAGGATAGCCTTGTGTTACAGTCTTCAGAAGGATTTCTTTCTGCCTTGGAAAGTGTTTATTTATTTCTTTCCACCCTTCCAATTTCTGAGCCACACTGAAACCAATTTCAATTTCAATTTAAAATATGAAATCATTAAAAATAATTTAATTTTGAATTTGACCTGTTCGAAACTGAACCGTAGTCTATTGGCTTGCATTTCTAATTAGAAACAAACTCTAAAATTGATATTTTGTAACACTATGATTTGGAATGAGATTGCTGAACAAATTAACAGGGCTCATGCATGGGGACAAGGTGTCAAAGTTTATGGAAGTAGTTGAGATCTCAATGATGACAGAGCACCACGACTTTGACCACCAAAAAATAAATAAGGTGAACAAAAAGTAGAAAGAAAGAAAAAAAGAAAGAAAGCCCCCCTAATTGCTTGCCCACCAACATATATTTATTTTCTCCAACTTAATGATGCCCAATGTACTCGAAGTCGCATTTTCTGATTCCCTTCTTTTTTGGAATTAATATTTTAGTCCCTTAAATTTGACTGGAATTATTAATTTATCCCCATTATTTGATAAATTCACTTATTCATCCCTAAGATTTAACCTTATTAAGTTATTTAATCCTCATCTATTAAGTACGATCAAAATAGTAAATTTAATGGATTACATAGTAAAATTAAAATTAAATATAAAACATCAAATAGTATAAAATTAAAATTAAATGTAAAAGACCAAATATCGAATATCATAAGATATGTAGTGATAAAAAATGATACTGTGATAAATGAGATTAAATCGGTAATTTAACTCTCCTTGCCACGTTGGACAACTTACATTGATTAATAGTCATGTTATGTAAGCGAACGCGTAGGTAAATATGAGCCGCACTTTGTCCTATTAGACAATTTGGCTGAACATTTCATCAAGAGACATCAAATTAAAAAATTATAAATTCATACACTCAATTGTAATTATTTTCCGTTCAGACGACAAAATAGAAAATAAAAAAAGAAATTTAGACACTAAAAGTAACATTATCCCTGTACATATTGGACTTTTTAGACTACTTGTCTAAAATTGAACAGTGGGAAGGAAATGTATCTTTATTCTGTACAATTGATATAGCTTAACATTAAAAAACATGTCGATGACCTATTGTTCAAGCTAAAGCTAAAAAAAGACATTCCTTTCCTTTAGAACCAAGCATGGCACTCCACAGTAAAGTACCAACATAAAGTTGGTTTTGTAGCCTTCAATTGATATTCTCTCCTTTGATACATCAAAATTAATTATTGGATTTTTAGTTACTTTGTAGCTACTTGTATTTATAGATTTACTAGAAATTCATTTCAGTTATTTGCTTTCTTTTGATAAGAAGTATAAAGGAGTTAAGAGCTCGTGATTTATTTAAAATTTGATTCTAAAAAAATTTGTTCGAAGTTTATTAAATTAAATGAGCCAATTTGAAGCTCAATTTTCAAACTCTTTTAATAAACGCGTTAAGTATTAAGTATTAAGTTTAAGTAAAGTAAAATAATGTGACTCGTTTTTAAAATTCAGGTAGTTATGTTCATACCATTTATTCCTATAATTCACAACTTAATACTTAATAATTTTGTGATCATGTGAAAAATAAAAATAATAGATAAACATTTCTTATTAACAGATAGGGGTTGGAAAAAAGATGTCTCTTCATCTTTATAATCACAAACTGACATTTACAAATTGGTAATAGGATTTGGGTTGGAGGAAGAGGTGGATTTTGGAGAAGTATAATTTCCAACTTTGAATGATTAAGTTGACAATGAAAATGACTGGATTGGGATTTGGAACGAGTATGTCATTCTGTCAATTTTTTATTTCTTTTTTCGTCAATATATAAATTACTATTCTATCCATATATTTTGTCAAAATTAACTAATAAATGCTTGTACTTATTGGCTATTTTATTCGTTCATTTTGCTTATATTAATTAATATATCCCTGTATTTTACGAAAAAGTACAAAAACAGAAAATAAACAAGCAAAAATCCTATTTTTTAATTTCAAATCATTATTTATCCAATTGAATGAAATAAGATTTTCAAAATAAGAAATAAACAAGCCATGGATAAAAAGGATAAAATTATATATTTTGACAAATAAAAAAGTAATTTTTCAAAAAAAAAAAAAAATCACTACAAGAATTGCAGAATTACCGACAATATTATAATATTCAAAGAAGAAATCACATTTTAGCAAATTAAAAAATCAAACATTGAAAATAATTTATAAAAGTAGGACCTATTTAGTGGTTTATGATGTAGAAAATGTTAAAAGTATAATCATGAGTATACGGACTTAGAATTACTTCTTGAAATTGAAATGGTAATTAGTAATAAAGGTGAGATATTTGAATATTTAATTCTTGTTCAACAACATTATCATACTGTCCCTATAAAAATATATTAATCATAAATTTTCAAAGGAATAATATTTTGAAGGTATGTCAAATTGAATTTACGGCTTTTTGTCATTATATATAACAATAACAATAACAATAACAATAGTAATTAATTCTTAATCTTAATCTTTTTCATAAATCTTTTTTTTTTCCAATTTAAATATGTACTAATATCGAAAAGTAGTAGATCTTTTAAAACAACTTCCGAAAATATAGTTAGTACACCTTGATTTTATTAGTTAAGATAATAATAAAATAAATTTATTTGTCAGAGTTGAACTAATAAGTTATATATCTAAATTTTCAAACTAAATTTTATTTAAATGAAAAAGTTTCGTTTTACAGATGATTCAATAAGCTATATAACTTATTAGATGAAAAGACAAAATCATCCACCTATAATTATAAAATAATATATAATATAATATTTCTTAATCAGTCAGGCAATTGCTTTTGATATCGAATTTTAATTATTCAATTTAATAAGTTGTTAATTCAAATTCAGTCTACATAAATTACTTCTAAATCAACATTAGGGTACCATATTTAAGAACCTCAGATTAATGGACATGAGCTTTTGTCTGTAGTATTTAAAATAATTAAAATGTTTGAATTTTGTTGTCTATGTGGATGAATAGTCGGAGCTATCAATTAAATATTGATGCAGAGAAATGCTATTTTGTTTTATTATAACGAAACATAACAATAACAACTTGTATTTTAAAAAATTAACTCCTTAGTCTTCGTGTTTTGGATTATCGGAGTTATTATACAGTGAAACTGTGATTCTATTTACCTAAAATATTTAATATTAATCAGAGAACTAAATAGTAATTCACCCTTAATTTAATTATAACCTTCACTTTGATGGTGTTAGATAAACATATAGAAAAATATTTATTTTATGAAATTTTAGTTATATTGACTATTGTGATTTGTACTTATTTTAATAATTACCACATATACCAAGTGAATTGGACTTAAATTTTCAAATCATTAATTGAAAATTGATATAGTTTGTTAATCATCATTATGATCTTTGTACAATTTCATAATTACTTACAGTGCAAAAATGGTACCTTCTTTGATTATAATGCTCAACAAATGAAAAAGCAGGTTGATTGTAAGATAAGAAAAGAGAAATGTTGAGGATAAAAAAATTGTTTTATATCTATTTACGAGCTGTGGCTCGGTTGATAATGCAGACTAGACATATGAAAAGAGCTCTCGAATTCAACCCTCACTGAAAAAATTGTTTTATATCTAATTATTAATTAACAACTATCACACCTGACATTACAACCTATAATGAAGCAAAAAAGTACCTTGCATTGCACATATCCTAGTTGTTTCCCACACTCTCTTTTCTCATATGTCCTTGGAGCCATATTTTTTTTTTTTTGTTATTTTTATCCTTTTTTGTTCAATTATTTTTCAATATATAATGAGATAATTTACCCTATTTCTTTAGGTTTTATTTTCTATCAAAAATTACTTGATAATTTTGAAGTGAAGTCAATGAGCTATTATAGGTCCAATTAATTTATATTGGCAATTTTAAATTTTATAGTTGATTTATTTTATAAATGTTGTATGAATAAAAAAGAAGATAATTATTTTAAAGAAAATATGTAGATCAAAATCATTTCATATTCTCATAGTACACATCAAAATTTATATTCATAATGATAAAACAAGTTGAAATTTTGTTG